GCATTTCTGTTATTACGAGCGGTCGAAAGCGCGAAAGACCCGTCGCGTCTACCGCCTCACCGTCCTGAACGTGCGGTACGACAAGAACAGCATCCCCCCCATGAACATCAGCTCCAGCGCGCCCCTGGGCGCATCCACCGCGACCGAGCTCCCGAGCGCGCTCCCGAGCGCGGTCCCCACCGCCAACGCCGCGCCCATCCTCGCGTCGACGTTTCCCAACCGTCGGTGCGCGACGAGCGCCGCAGCTCGCCGCCATCGGCCTCGCCGCCGGCCTCGCCTCCGGGCTCCTCGGCATCGGCGGCGGGACGATCGTCACCCCCGCGCTCGCGCTCGCGTCCCCTCTGCCCCAGGCCGCGGTGCTGGGCACGTCGCTGCTGGCGATGCTGCCGCCGTCGGCTGCGGCGCTCGTCGCGCACCGACGGTTGGGAAACGTCGACGCGAGGATGGGCGCGGCGTTGGCGGTGGGGACCGCGCTCGGGAGCGCGCTCGGGAGCTCGGTCGCGGTGGATGCGCCCAGGGGCGCGCTGGAGCTGATGTTCATGGGGGGGATGCTGTTCTTGTCGTACCGCACGTTCAGGACGGTGAGGCGGTAGACGCGACGGGTCTTTCGCGCTTTCGACCGCTCGTAATAACAGAAATGCTGTTATTAACCTTAGGTTCGATTCGATTCCACGACTCGCTAGCTAGTTGTACACTACTACTACAACACGACGCGCCTCCTACCTCAGCAAGTTCCCTTCGCTCTTCGCCTTCGACATCCCGCGCGGGGACGCCGGAGGCCGCGGAGACAACAACCGCTCCGTGAGCTCGCTCCGCTCGTCGTCTCCCGCGCGCCAATGCGGCAGCGGCGGCGGCGGCGGCGACTCGAACACCCTCCGATGCGATCGCGTGCGAAACCGCATCGCGTAGCGCCGTCGCTCCGCGCGCCGTCGCTCCACATGCCTCGCGTGCCGAGCCTCGCGCAGCGTCAGCGTCTCGTGCTCGACGCGGAGTAAGCTCCACATCCCGCGCCTGAGGGTCGTTCCATACGAAGCGACGTCGGGGTGGAGTTCAAAGGCGTCAGTTGGAGTTGAAAGGCGTCGAGGGCGGGGATTGAAAGCGAGGCGTGGGCGTAGAGATGCGCCGGCAAAAGTCCTTAAGGATCGGCGTTCACCACGCGAACGCGGTCGTATGGGGACCAGTGTATAGAACGCGCCTGAGGAGCTCCAGCAGTCCGAGGCCCAGCGTGCACCCTCCGTCGCACCAGTGCGGGGAAATCGCGAGGCCCCACGACAGTCGTCCGGCGAAGTCGAACGCGACGGCGACGTAGTACAGCATCGGCGGCGAATACAGCAGCTGCGGGCGGAGGAACGGCCAGCCGTGCGCGTCGTCGTTCAGCTCCAAGTCTTCGTCGATGAGCTCCTCGTCGTCCGAGTCGAGTTCTTCGTCGACATCGCCGGCTCCGGCGGCGCCGCCCGTCTGCTTCGCGAGCCCTAACCTCTCGCCGAACAACCCGACTCTCGCTAAACCCCAGTCCATGACGACGTCCCACCAGAAACAAAACACCGTCTTGAAGCACAGCGCGCCCACCCACGCGGCGTACCACGAGGTCTCGCTCACGCCGAACATCGTGTTTGAATTTGAAAACTCGTCGTCGCGCGAGAGCTCGTAAAACGTCGACGCGATCGTCACCGCGATGCAGGAGAGATACTTCATCGCGTTCACCGCGTGCCACGTGTTCCCTAGCGGCCCGTTACACTGCGCGACGCACTGCCACAGACGCAACCAGAACGGGAACATCAGGACGATCGGTTTGCCGTAGAGGGCGTTTTTGGAATCGCCGACGCATTTTCCCGCCGCGGCGGCGGCGTCCGCGCCGTTCGTCCACGACCCCGTCGCGAATAAACACGCCGCGCACTCCGTCTGCCACAGCATCAACCCCGCGGACGTGAGCGCGTCGGTCAAGAGGACGTGCCGGAAGTCCACCGGCGACGACGGCGGGTCCGGAAGAGAGTCGATCGACCACTCGCTCCCCTCTCGCCACGGCCTCCGCGGACGCCGCGAGCTCTCCTCGTCCTCGTCCCCGCGTTCGCTTCTCTTATCGTCGCCCTCCCTATCGCTGCCGCGTTCTCCCCCCTCCCTATCGCTGTCGCCGTCGCCGTCGCCGTCGCCGCCGCCGCCGCCGCCGCCCGGCGGCGGGAACGGCCCGAACGCCGGGTACCCGAACGAGAACCCAAGCGCCTCGAACACGCACCGTATGAACCCCAGTCTCGCGCGGCGCGCGGGCAGCGGCCTGGGCGCGACGACGAGCGCGAGGACGCTCAGCACCGCGCAGAGCTCGATGATCATCGGCGAGCCGTGGAACGGCGCGCCGCGCAGACCTCGGCACCCTCCTCCTCCTTTGGAGTCATCATCAGCCTTCTTCTCGTCGAACCAGCACAGCGACGAAAACGCGGCGACGTGCACGGCGACGACCCACGTGCAGATCGTCGCCATCACGCCCACCTCCGTGGACGTCGCCACCACCGGGCACGACGGCGTCGTTCCCCACACCGCGCGCAACATCGCGGGCTTGCTCTCCATGCACGCCATGAGCGCGTACCAGAGCCACGCGCACAGCAGGATCTGGGTGAGGCCGACGAAGACGAAGTCGGTGCCGCCGTCGCCGAGGACGACCCCGGCGAATCCTCCGCTGGACGTGCTCGCGAACGTCACGGACGCGAGGAGGAGGAAGACGACGACGCCGGACGCGATCGCCGCGAGCTCGAGGGCGGTGACGGAGTGGACGTCGTGCCCGGGGATCCAGGAGGAGGTGGACGCGCGCGACCGCGGCATGACGACGGATGTTCGTATTCCTCCCCGCGACGCGTCCGTCTCCGGGCGTGGGGCGTTATCCCGCGCGCTCTCCGACGGAGCGCTTCCGCGCGGACGCCTCTCCGGCCCGCCGCGCGAACGCGGCGCGGCGCTCCGCCGCGCCTTCGCGGGGCGAAGCGGTCGCGAGCGCCTTCGCGACCCGTCCCCGTCGCGCGAGCGAGGCGCGCGCGAGGGAGGTGTGACGGCAGGTTCAAATTCGGCAGGGACTGATGACGCGGACCGAGGTCGAGGGTCGGCACGAGCGAACGCTCCGAGCTTTCGGCGCGCGGCGCCTGCGCCTACGTCTACGCCGCGTCGTTATTACACCTATCACATCTATCGCATCGCATCGCTCGTCAGTCGTCGAACCCGAGCGCGACGACGACCGCGGCGGCCTCGCGCTTCCGCTTGTTCCCCCCGTCCCCGTCCCCGTCCCCGTCCCCGGCGGCGGCGGCGGGATCATCATCGTTCGTCGCCTCGCCGCCGCCGCCGCCGCCGCCGCCGCCGCCCTTCGCGCCCGCCCGCCGCGTCAGCTCGCGCGCGTCCTCCGCGCGCGGCTGCACCACGCACAAGAACCCCTCGTTCAGCGGGTCCGTCGACGCCAGCCCCGGCTCGTCGATCAGCCGCTCGTTCACCTCCAGCAGTCTCCCCTTCGCGCACGCGCGCGCCGTCCACGACGTCCCATCGTCGGTCGACACGCGCGCGACGCCGCTGTTCGCCATCAAGAGCTTCGCGCCGCGCTTCTTCTTCCCTCCGCCCTTCACGACGTCGTTGGACTGGTGACCCTTGCCCTTCCCGAGGCTGAAGTCCACGGAGACGATCGACGGCGCGCCGGACGCGGACGCGGACGCGGACGGGGCGAGATCGCCGGCGTCGGCGTCGTCGGCGCCGCGGTCGACGACGACGGTCGTCGTCTTCGAATCTCGCGTCGCGCCGCCGCCGACTCGAGGCGCGAGGCACACGACGACGAGGCCGTTCGGGTGATGGAACAGGACCTGGTCGCGCTCGCGCCTGCCCTCCGGGTCTGGGACGTCGATGCGCGCGTACGTGCGGTCGCGCGTGGTCCGCGGCGCGGTCGCGAGCGCGCCCCCGCCCCCGCGCATCGTGGAATGAATGACAGTTTGACGCCGGCGCGCGCGGATTCTTGGATTCGGATCTCCCGCCGCGCGGACGGCTGGGAAGCTCTCGGGGGGGTCGACGGCGCCGCGACGCAATTGCGGGCAGCGCGCGGGGGCGTCGCACGGCACGCGCGCATCGAACGACACGCGCGAAGCCGCGCAAACGATCGCAGGGGGAAGCCTCGTCGAGGGAGCGCGCGCGAGCGCGCGCGTCGTCGAGGCGCGTCCCGTCCCCGCGTCCCTCGGTCGTCGCGTCGCGTCATCATCTTTTTTTAAAGGGTTTAGGGGTGAAAGGGTTTTGGCGCGGCCGCGCGTCGACGCCTCCTCCTCGACGCGCCCTCCTCAACGACCCGGACCTCACGCGCGCGTCGTCCGCGATTCGCGCTCGATCGACACGCCGCGCGCATCGCGCGTCGGATCCGCGTCGTCGTTCGTCCCCGCGCGCGGACGCCGTCGCCCCGCATCTCGCGCGCGCTCCCCTCCCGAACGGCTAAGAGTTCGCTGACCTCCCGCGTTCTTCATCCATCCCTCCGTCCCCTCATCACCCCTCAGGCGCGCGCGATGACGACGACGACGACGACGACGACGAACGCGGCGCAAAATAACCCGCCGACCACCACCACGCCTCCGCCGCCGAAGCGCGCGACGAACCTGTACGACGTCACGTGGACGAACGACGAGCAGGCGACGCTGGAGGCTGGGCTCGACGACCCGTCGCCGACGCCCGCGGGATGGACGCGCGTCCCGGGCCGAGGCGCGTTCAATGTCACACTGGTCCCCATACTTCCGCGTCGGCGTGGTGAACGCCGATCCTTAGGACTTTTCTTCCCGGCGTGCGTTTCTCTCCGCCCAGGGTCCCTCGCTTTCAATCCCGACACACCTCGACGCCTTTCAACTCCGCTTCTGACGCCTTTCAACTCCACCCCGACGTTCACAGAGTCGCTGTGGCGGTACGTGCGCATCGCGGCGCGTCTGCCGAACAAAGGCGTCCGCGACGTCGCGATGCGCGTGCGGTGGATGAAGCGGAAGGGAATTAAGAGCGGCGCCGCCGCCGCCGCCGGCGGCGGCGGCAACGGCACGAAGACCGGGAAGACCACCGGCGGGAAGAAGGCGGCGTCCGCGAAGACCAAGGCGCCGCGCTCGACGCGGGGGCAGCCGCAGCCGCGACCGGGGGGGTCGACGGCGACGACGTCCATGGGCACGCACGCGCACGCGCCGCCGGGGACGTACGGATACGACGCGCATCAGCAGCACCCGCAGCAACAGCACGGAGGCGGGTACCCGGCGGTGGCGCCGCGCGGCGGCGGCGGCGGCGGCGCTGCGGACGCGACGCTCTTTTCGCCGCCGACGGCGATGGGACTCCCGTCCGGGATGGGCGCGCGGCTGCGCTGGGGCCCGTCGCCGAATGGCACGCACCAAGTCGGAGGAGGACCGACGGGCACCCCGGCGTACGCGCAGCAACAGCAGCAGCACCATCAACAGCATCCGCACGCGCAGCAGCACGCGGCGCACCATCAGCACCAGGGCGCCGCGATGATGCACGGCGGCGGCGCGATGCATCCTTACGGCGGCTACGTGATGCAGCACCCGCCGTCGCAACACCAACATCAACTTCAACACCAACCCCAACACCACCACCACGGCACCTTCGCGTACGTCGCCGCGGGCCCGCAGGGTCCGTACCACGCGGGCGCTCTGCAGCACGGGCAGCCGACGACGACGCACCCCGCGTATCATCACATGACGCAACGTCAACATCAGCAGCTCAACGGCGGCGATCACATCTTCGGTCCGCAAGCCGGGTACGCCGCGACGTCGCCGCTGCTCGCGGAGGAGCCAGTTGGCGGGAGCGCGCAGGACGACGTGTTCTTCGCGTGGCCGGGAGGCATGGACGGCGCGGGGCTCGGGATGGCCGGGATGGCCGGGATGGGGATGGGGATGGACGGCGGCGGGATGGGGATGGGGATGATGGACGAAGGCGTGAGCGACATCTTCCGCGACAACGCGGAGCTCGCGACGGAGATTTCGAAAAATTTGCAGCACGGCGCCGCGGACGAGAACGTGCCTCTGCTCGCGCGGTACCGCGATAACCTCGCGCACGCGAGCGCGGCGATCGAGCCCGCGGGAGGAGGGGTGCTCGTCGACGGCCTGAACCCGCTGACGTCGCCGCCGGGGATGCTGCCGGGGACGACGACGACGGGGACGACGAGTCACGTCTTCATCGAGGAAGAGCCCGCCGGCCGCGCGTCCGCCGGGGGGCCCAACGCCGCCGGCGCCGCGGTCGTCGTCGTCGAGGAGGAGGAGGAGGAGGAGGACGCCTCGCCAGAGGGGACGATGACGACGACGACGGCGGACGCGGAGGGCGGCGGCGGCGGCGGCGGCGGCGCGGGGACGCGCGCGCGCGTCAGTCCTCTCCGGGGGGCGTCGGCGAGGGCGCGCGCGGGGAAAAAGTCGCCGTCCAAGTCACCCGCGCGGCCGGCGAGGAAAGGGGCGACGACGTCGGTGGTGTCGTCGCCGTCGCCGCGGGGAGGGACGCGGCGGACGCGCGGGTCGTCAGGGTAGGCGCGTTGAGTGGTGTGGGCTCCGTAGGACGTCTTGCTTGTTAGTCTCAAGATTCTTTCATGCGATCTATCGAGTCGCGGCGGGCGGGACGCGTCGACCGCTTTGACTGTACGCGGTTCTCCGCGCGCGGTTGCACGCCGGGCATCCCGTGGGTCTGTCGCTCTTCGAGCGGTGGTTCATCGTCGTCCGCCACTCGTGGTCGCACGCCGCGCACTTCCAGAGCGCTTTGTAACTCGACGCCCGCGTCACCTCCGTCGGCTTTCTGTCCGGGTCGACGTACTCCTCGAGGAGTGTCTTCCCTTGCTCGCCGTTCTCCTCGCACCACGCGAGGAAGTTGTTCGTCGAGCTGGCGACTTGGCGCGAGCACGCCGGGCATCCGCCGAGGCTCGTGCGGTGGTGCATCACCGCCCGCCACTCGTGGTCGCACGCCGCGCACTTCCACAGCGCCTTGTAATTCGACCCGTACGCCAACTCCGTCGGCTTCACGTCTGGATCGGCGTACTCTCGCGACAGTCTCTCGCCTCGCTCGCCGTTCTCCTCGCACCACTCGAGGAAGAAGTACGCCTCGCTCTTCGGCAGTCGTTTCGAGCACACCGCGCACCCGCTTGGTCTGTTCCTCCTCGTGCGGCTGTGCATCACCGCCCGCCACTCGTGGTCGCACTCCGCGCACTTCCACAGCGCCTTGTACCCCGACCCCCGCATCACCTCCGTCGGTCCCTTGTCCGGGTCGACGTACTCCTCGAGGAGTATCTCCCCTCTCAAGCCGTTCTTCTCGCACCACACGAGGAAGTTGTTGGTTGGAGTGGCTTCGTGGACGAAGGGAAAGGTTCGGTTGCACTCCGGACATCCCCTGGGTTTGTCGCTCCTCGTGCGGTTTTGCATCGTCGCCCGCCACTCGTGGCCGCACGCGGCACACTTCCACAGCGCCTTGTAGCCCGACCCCCGCATCACCTCCGTCGGCCCCTTGTCCGGGTCGACGTACTCCTTCAGGAGTCCTCGCTTAAAGTTCTCCTCGCACCACGTGAGAAAGTTGTTGTCCGGGGTAGCGCGCCTCCCGCGGCCGTGCGGCGGCGGGCACGGCGCCGACGCGCGTCGAACCCTCGCGAGTCTGCTCCCCATGCCGCCCGTCAGCGCCGGCGTCGCGTGCGTCCGCCATGGCGACGACGCGAGCGCGACGCGCGCCATCCGTGCGCCGCGCGGAAGTGACGGATAATAAGTCGCCTCGTCTTCTCGAAATCTATCGTCGTCGATCCTCTCGAAGCGCCGTTCGACCTTCCGACGTCGCCGCCGTTTCCTCGTCCGAGACGAGACGTCCCCTCGCGCCCCGCCGCGCCTCACACGCACGCGCACGTAACGCACGCACACGTATTAACGCTCGCCAACCATGGGGTACATTATGCACGCCGGCCAGGCGCAGGAACCGGTCCCGATCCGCCGCGGCGCGCTCAACCTGTACGGCCAGAAGGGCTGGTACGATTTCTTCGCGACGCGCGCGAGCCTGACGAACGACGGTATGTCACACTGATCCCCATACGACCGCGTTCGCGTGGTGAACGCCGTTCCTTAAGGACTTTTGCCGTCGTCTCTCTCCGCCCAGGGTTCCTGGACGACTCCACCGTCGGCATGAAGCACGTCGCGGTGCGCGACAGCGACCGCGAGAGCTCGTTCAAGCCCGCGTCCGGGAACGTGTGCCCGCGGCCGAAAGGGTGGAAGCCGATCCAGAGCAACACGCTCAAGCCGCCGGTCGTCGCGCGCGCGCCGGTCGTCGTCGAGCCGGAGGTGGCGACGGCGTCGTTCCAGAAGGACTCCGAGGGCTCCTTCCCGTGAGAAGGGAAGACGCACTGCACGCGACGAGGGAGGCGAGGCGTCGCGGAGGCGTCGCGGCGCGAGGGCGGCGACTCGCGCGCGAGGGATCGGCCGCCGGACGGAAGAACGAACAGACGACGACGTGAACGATGGACGACGAACGACGCGAGCGCGATGATGAAGGTAGCGCGCGCGGCGCGGAGGCGTCGCGACGACGTCGCGGTGTTTGTTTCCTTTCCAAAACCCGCTCGTCTTCTTCGTCGTTCAGTTCCTTTCGTCGCCAACCAAAAAAAATCATCCTCCGCCCGTCGCCTCGCCGCCTCCCCCTCCTCCTCCGCCGCCCCCATCACGACAACGCCTTCCTCACGTCCGCGGCGGCGTCCTTCACCTTCCCCGCGCTCTCCGCCGCCGCGAGCGCGGTCGCGACGTCCAACACCCCGAGATCGATCGCCAGCTTCTTCGCCTCCGCGCCCGCCGTCGTCGCCGCCGTCCCGAGCGCGACGAGCGCGCGAAACCTCGCGTCGACGTCCGCCGCGGGCGACGCGTATAACAGCTGGCTCCCCACGGCGACGCACGCGGGCGCGAGGTCGGCGGCGGCGGGGATGTCGGACGCGAACGACGCGAGGTTGAGGATCGCGGTCGCGAGCGCGAGACGCGCGGGGGGTTTCGCGTCGGCGGCGGCGGCGGGCGCGAGGCCGTCCTGCGTCGGGACGGTGGGGACGGTGGGGACGGTGGGGACGGTGGGGATGGTCAGCGGGCGGGTCCCCGAGATGATGCGAAAGAATCGACGCGACGCGACACGAGGCGCGCTAGATAGACACGACACGTGGGACTGTCCGCCGATCACAAACAGCCGCGACGACGTGTGAGAGACCGCCGAGTCGCGGCGACCGGATCGGCGGCGATGCATCTCGCCGCGGGTAAAATCTGATCGCGCGACGAACGCGCGCGCCCAGGAACGATCCGCGCGGCGGTGGACGAGCAGAAGACGCAGCGCGAAGCCGCGCGTCGACGGAGAAGAGAGAAGAGAGAAGAAGAGGGAGAAGATACCGAACCGAAAGAACCGAAAGAAACGCACCAGTAACGCCTGCCCGAACGGCAAGAACGCGTCCCTCGTCTCGCCGTGCTTGAACGCGTTCGCGAAGAGCCGCCCCGCCGTCAGCACGTTCCCCGGCGGCGCCGGCGCGCCGTCCCCGCCGCTCTCCAGCGCGCGGCACGCCGCCGCGGCGAACGCGCCGGACGTCGCGGCGTCGCACGCGCCCGGGACGAGCACGAGCATCCTCGCGACGTCGAGCAGCGGGAAGAGTTTCTCCTTCGGCCACGCGGCAGACGCGTCGAGGAGCGCGGCGGCCGCCGTGGTCGACGGCGGCGTCTTGCTCGCCGCGGCCGCCGCGCACTCGCGGAGACCCTCGACGCGTTGCGCCGCGGTAGCGAGCTCGGCGGCGAACTCGGCGATCTTCTTCAGGATCCCGTCGAGGTTCAAAGAGGTATCGAAGAGGAGGCACGTCGTCGTCGGGACGTACGACTGTCGCGCGGCCGCCGCCGCCGCCGCGGGCGCCGCCGCCGCGGGCGCCGCCGCCGCCCCCGGCACGTACGCCCCGCCCCCCGTGAACGGATCGAAGTTCCCAGCCCCACCCCCACCACCGCCGGTCGTCGCGCCCGTCCCGGGCACGTACGCGCCCGCGCCGGTGAACGGGTCCGCGCTGACGCCGCCCGCGCCGACGTTGGTCTCGCCGACGTTTTGCACGATGAAATTCACGACTTGCTCTCGATAACCGGCGGGGAGATCGTTCGTCTCCAAGAACGTCTCCGCGGCCGTGTACGGATTATCCCCGACGTTAAACGGCAGCTTCAGCGGCGGGACGCCGTCCTGGAAGTCCACGTCGAAGACGTAGTCGTACTCCGCGCCTTGGAACGATTTCTTTCCGCCGCCTATTCCGCCGCCGCCGACGCCGGTGACCTCGCCGACGCGTTCCCAGCTCGCCGTCCCCGCGGACCACGCGTACGCGGCGATCGTCCCGCCCTCCTCTCTGATGACCTTCGTCACGCCGTCGCCGTGCCCGGACTGCAGAAGCGCGCTCGGGTCCTCGGTCTTTATCTTCGACTGCTCCTCCGCGAGCGTCGCTCTCGCCCTCGCCTCCGCGGCGGCGGTCATCGCGTCGTCCATCGCCTTGGGGTCGAGGGTCCATACGAAGCATCGTCGGGGTGGAGTTGAAAGGCGTCAGAAGCGGAGTTGAAAGGCGTCGAGGGTGGGGATTGAAAGCGCGGGACCCTGGGCGGAGAGTAACGCCGGGAGAGAAAGTCCTTAAGCATCGGCGTTCACCACGCGAACGGGGTCGTATGGGGACCAGTGTCATGAATAGAACGCGCCTTGGCCGCCGCCGCGTCTTTCTTCGCGTCGTCCGTCGTCCACACCCGCGCGACGCCGTCCGCGCAGCACGAAATAACGTCCCCACCACCGCCGTTACCATCACCACCGATCGGAAACGCGGCCACGGACCAGACGCACCCGGGGTGCGCGATCGTCTGCGCGCACGACGCGTCGGGGATCCTCAGAGTCGACCGCAGG